GGTTTTTCATTATAACCGCTCAAAATAAATTTCCCTAGAGCACATTCGAGTTCATCAATGGTAATTTTAGGGTCCTGATTATTTTCAAAAGAAGCATACTTTGTTGATTCGCATCACAAATATTCAAAGATGTTATTGGTCCAGAATAATTCAAACATTTGAAGCGGCGAAGAATTACCGAATTTGGAATAATCAGGTGTGATGAAATTCGTTTTGACATTCTCAAACATTTCTTTACTCCATTTATGATGAAGCTTCTCTTTTTGGATGGGAATGGGTTGATTATGAAGGTTCTCTTTTTGGATAGGAATGGGTTTATTATGAACCTTCTCTTTTTGGATAGCTATGAGTTGATTGTTTAGAGCTGAAACTGGTGATGGTGACAGGTCATCGGAAAACCATCAATCCTTACATTATTTCTCAACCTTATTTCAGCACCAGCGAGGAGTTGCCGAGGCGGTTGATGATTTATATCTCCCTCTGTATCTTCATCACCAGATTCCTCGTCTGTCAGAGCATTCACATCTGGTGGCTCAGTGTATATTGCGACCACGTCCAAGTCTTCAGCGTGAGCAATTTCTGATGCTTCTTGCAATGTAAATTCTCTTCTATAAAAAATAATGCATAAGTATGCAATGTTTTTTTTTTTTCAAATTTTAAAATATGCATAAATACACCAATTATTCATCCACCCAGACACTAATTGCTACAAACAAATTGGCAGTCATTTCAAACATAAAAAACGATTTGTATAAAAATATACAAAAAAAATAGGGAATGAAAAGTCCCGGCGTTATATATATGTAACGCTCGATTTTCAAGTCCGCTACTGCAAAACCAAATAACGTTTATTGCATTTCCGACTAAAATGACATAAATACAATCATTCTAGATTACGCTTAAAACATAATATGCTGAATTACCCTAATTTCAAATACTTTATACATACTTACTTCAAATTCTCCATTTTTCACTCATTTTTTTCAAATATAAATTTTTCCGACTCACTTCACAATTCACAACAACGGGATATCTATAAATGACATTCAAAAGAGTAAAGAGCGGATAGTGGGAAGTGGCAATACACAAAGATGACAAAGAGAAAACTGCCTTCAGTACCGGAAGCGGATTATACCAGTTTAACGTAATGCTTTTCGGATTGTGTAATACTCCCGCTACGTTTCAGCGACTGATGCATCTAGTTTTGCGAGGCCTTACAAGGAGAACTTATCTGGTATATTTAGATGATGTCATGATCATGGGAAATTCGTTCTAAGAACATCTCAATAACCTGAAAGAAGTTTTTGACTGCTTCCGGAATGCCAACTTGAAACTCAACCTCAATAAGTGTTTTCTATTTCAAAGGAAAGTGGAATTCTTAGGTCACGTGGTATCCAAAGATGGTATACAAGTTATAGGAAAGATAGTTACTGTCACGGATTAGTCAAAACCACGCGACATACATGAACTAAGGAGTTTCCTAGGATTATGTTCTTGTTATCGAAGATTTGTGGAAGGATTCGCCAATATAGTTGTTCCGCTTCATCGATTAACGAATGAAAAATCAACTTTCAATTGGACCCAAAAATGCGATTCAGCATTTAGAAAATTGAAAGGAGCATTATGTACAAGCCCAGTGTTGTCCTATCCCGATCAGAAGGGCTTGCTGATTCTGACATAGATGCAAGCGACACCAGTAATGGAGCTGTACTTTCACAAAATCAAAATTCACAAGAGCATATCGTAGAATATTAGAGCAGAACCTTATCAAGAATTATTGTGTCACCAGAAGAGAGTTGCTTGCCAAAGTAAAAGCAGTCGATCATTTCCATGGCATAAGTATCTATACGGACGTAAGTTTCTAATTGGAATGGATTACGCAGCTCTAAAATGGCTTTTAGAAATGAAAGCTCTCGAAGGGCAGCTTGCTAGATGGATTGAGAAATTGCAGCAATACGATTTCCAAATTAAACATTGACCTGGAAACCTACATAAAAATGCTGACGCTCTGTCTAGCCGGCCAGGTAAAGAAGATTGCAAGCATTGACAAAGAATCGATATGCATAAGAAAAACACTGGCCCGGCTGTGAGAAGAACGGGTCTTATCGTTGATGATAAATGGACTACCAAACAAATAAGAGCAGATCAAGAATCAGACCAGGACATCAGGCAATTTCTACATCTTAAAGAAAATGATGAATGTAGGCCAGAATGGAGGGAAGTGTCGAACAAGAGTTTGATTCACAAGGCGTCGTGGGCTCAGTGGAACTCTGGCTGTAGAAAATGGTTTACTGAAAAGAATTTGGGACAGTGCCGATGGAAAATCTACTAAGAGCCAACTGGTTTTTCCAAAAGATTGAGTAGAAGATGTATCAAAAGAAATAGATGACGGAACTTTAGGGGCACATTTTGGAGTAAACAAGACGTTGGACATAATTCGGGAACGTTTTTATTGGGTTCACTATCATGAAGACGTTAAAAACTGGTGTCGACATCTGTGCTACCAGTAAAGGCCTCAAAAACTAAAATCTCGGGGGCCCATCAAACAGTACAACGTCGGTCTCTCATTTGAAAGAATAGCGATAGATTTTGCCGAACCTGAGTCAGAGCGTGGTCACAAATACATCTTGGTTATCATGGATTCAGTAAATGGCCAGAAGTTTTCGCTATTCCCAATCAAGAAGCCATCACTATGGCCCAGGTGCTAGTGGACGAAGTTTTCAGTCGTCATGGTGTGCTACTAGATTCGCATTCAGATCAAGGACGAAACTTCGAATCTGTCATCTTTAAGAAAATTTGTGAGATCATAGGCATTCGTAAGACAAGGCAATGGTCGCCACTTTCATACCCACAGTCTGATGGCATGGTAGAACGATTTAATGGGCCATAGAGGAACACCTGACAAAGAACCAGCGAGATTGAGACAAACACTTGCCTCTAGCCTCTATTTTTAATGGCGCATAGAGCAGCTGTTCACGAGTTCACAGGTGAAAGTCCAGCTAGAATCGTTTTTGGAAAGGAACTCAGGTTACCTTGCGATCTGATGTTTGAAATACCTGAAGAAGAACGAAAAAAAAATCGAGACTATGCCGACGAAGCACGGGCACGACTTCTGGGGATACATGATTTGGCTCGGGAGCATATTCAGCTGGCCAGTGACCGAATGAACGAATGAAGACCTGGCCGGTATTCTCGTTCTCAAAAACGCTCACCGCTTTTTAGTCACTTGGCACTTTCAATGTAAATTCACCTGAATCAAGCGACTAAAAAGCGGTGAGCATTTTCAAGAACGAGAATACCTGCCCAGATGCGACTTGAAAGCCAATTCAGCCGGATTTCAAGAAGATGATTTAGTGTGGCTGTATTATAATCCAGCAAGAGAGAAAGGAGTGTCGCCGAAATTGTCTTTAGCATGGGAAGGACCCTACAGAATAATCAAGAGGGTTATTGATTTGGTTTATCCAGTTCAGCGCAACACCAGGAATAAGATGAAAATTGTACATTTGGACACACGAATATCATGGGCGCGAAGTTGATCGGGACTATATACCAGGGATGTGCCGTAGACTATGAAATCTACTTTACGCGGTTTGTCTCCTCGTTGTCTACGTATTGTTTACATCCACTTTTTTCCATGTAGACTATGTAAACTATATAGACAATGTAGACAACATTTTTGAAAAAAAAAATTGAAATTTAAGTAATTTTTTTGAAAGTTTGCATTGCATTGTATATTGCATATTCTATCCAATTAGACATTATCTACAGTTTAAGTAACTTTACAAAGCAAAAAACAAAACAAAGCAAAAACAGAAACATAACCTTAAAAGCTGTCAAAAATTGTATACTTTACGCGTTGTCTACATATTTCACACGTTTTCTACATAGATTACATAGTTTACATTGTCTACGCGTTGTTTACACCAGATGAAGACAATCTTTTTCTACGCGTAGATGCCCATCCCTGCTATATACCTTGAGAGGAGGGCAGTGTCGCGAAATACTGGCGGAAGCGCCAAGGTGTACAGAATTGGACATCTAATTCTAGATTTTAGAGAGCTATTCGGGAAAAAGGGCTATCGCGTTTATTCTGGATATTACAAGAATGGATTACCGATATATAAAGGCCGGTATTAGTTAGTAGTTTTTAGTTTTAAGATTGTCTGTGATATGATTTAGATAGTGATTATTGTAAAGTTGTGAAGAGTTAAGTTGTTTGAGTCATTAGTTAACAATTAGTGTCAGAGTGTGTAGTAACGTGGAATACATTATTGTTGTGTTATTTGGACTTTGATTCTTGAATAAACGGACCTAAGATTTCTGTCACGCATCACAGAGCCGTGACACTATTAGATATTTCTATACAAAACCTTGAATGCTACATAAAACATTAAAAACAAAATTAAATGAGAGAATTGAAAACAATCAAAATTGAATAAAAATAAAAACACAAATCAATTATTTAATTAAGCTTGAAATTCGTTGAATATTTAAATAAAAATAACATAAATTGATGGAGTTCATAGATGGAGTGGTTAACAATAATCTAGCATCGAAAAAAAAATAAGAAATAGATAATCAAAATTTGTTTAGCCAGAAAAAAAAATGCTCTTTCACTAGTGAACTTCCTAATAATTGCTCTAAAAGAACCAATAATACAAGATGAAAAATACCTCAAATTTCAAAGATATAAATAAATTCTCTTTGTATTAATTATTAACTCTATGAAATACGAACTCATCACGTGCCCTTCACCCTTAAAGTACCTACTTAAGAGAGACTCTGATGAATATAGAGCAGCTTGCATAATAACTTATGTGCAACCTTGAATTATCAGCAAGCGTTCAAGGCGAATCGCACACAATGCCCTTTTGTAAAAAATCTCAAAGCAATTGAGGAGCATCATGCAAGAAGCATTATATAAAATATTGATTTTTCGAAAGAAAGGACATGCATGAAACATTTAACTGACTAATAAACTAAATTCAATTCTGTTTTAGTTTGCAGCTTCGTGGTCCATAAACGCTGTCATGAGTACGTCACTTTCAAATGTCCTGGTGCTGATAAAGGAGCTGATTCAGATGTAAGTACATAATTAAGATTGTTTCTAAAAACTAACACAAGACAATGAAACGATAATTAAATTATAAAATATATTTCAAGGCTGTAGTCAGAGATTGGGTTAAAAGATTCTTTTGAAAAGAACTATTTCCTTTCCGACGTTTCGAATAGGTAATTTTGAGCCAGCTTAACGTCTCAATAACGTGAGCTAAACAACAACAAAATAAATGAGCGAGTCTGCTTTTACTCAAGGCACTGTAATCGACTTACAAACGATTACTTGGGTTCAATCTCACGGAAGACATGACTTCCAATAAGTCTCTTAACCATATCTTTGTACCAATCAGAAAAATATTCTGTAGAAAGTTTCCCAGATGGTTCACACAAGACCACAAGCAAAGCAGGCTTCCTCTTGATTATCGAAACTTCTCCAACTTACGTTTCAACAATCTCTCTCGATTGGACTTGCCATATAAAAAACACTGAACCAGCCCTAAGGAATTCTGGTCTTAAACCTCTTTACAATATTCTAATAAACACTACCCACCATCTAGTGTTAACTTGAATGAGAAATCAGTCACTATGGGACCCCAAGCTGCTGAATTTTTTGCTAAATACTTTGGCTCAGTGTGCACTAACCAATCTTCAGACCCTTCCCACCAGCCATCTCGTAGTCCTCATAATATCACTATTTCAATCTTAAATATTTATACCAAATTAGAAAACGTTCTTACCTACTTGGACATATGTAGATTGCATATTGTGGGGGAGTCGTTTCATCTTTCTAGCCGCTCAGTACTGCTGTCTTTGCAGATATTTTGTACGTGACTCTACATCTTAAATTGTCTTCCAGAAAGCGTAGACCTGCCGAAGGAAGCTATTTTTCTGGGTGTCAGTTGGCCCACTTCTTCTGGTGACAGTGTTGCCCCCTCGAGGAATTTGAGCTTCTTGCAGAATTGGGCTGGACATTCACAGAGCATTGCGTCTGAGCAGAATCTGCAGAGATCGTCTTCTGTTCTTCCCATCAACCTTAAGTGGTATTCCCCAAGGCAAGGTGTGAGCAGTCCTACGACCATTTTGATGTCTGGTCTGCTCATATTTAGGAGCTGTTCAGCTCTTTTTGCTGAAAAGGTGATAAACCTTTTTGACTATCTTAGTCCCAGACTGGTGCTTCCAATATGATGACAGTTGGTCTTTCTCCCATTTGTTGAGTTCTTCCATGGTGTGGCTTTTCATTAAGCCACAATAGGGCCGTGGTATGGTGTTGAGGCCCCATTTGCTTCTTCGTTTCCTTCTATGCCTCGATGACCAGGCAGCCACATCATGGTTACCTGGTTGTGTGTCGCTAGTGTTTTTAGGGTCTGTTTACACTCCCAGAATAGTTTTGAGGTGCATTTAGCCCTTAAGGCTTTAAAGGCAGCTTGGCTATCTGATAGTATAAATATGTGTTTTCCTTTGAAGCTTTGGTAGAGACACTCTTGTGCACATATGTTTACGGCAAGCAGTTCGGCTTGAAATATTGTAATGTTTGCATGCCTCGGAGAGCTTAAAGTTAGGGCCGGAAATGCCCAGTCCAGCTTCTTCCGTTAGTTTGAATCCATCTGTGTAACACAGAGATGCATCATCTGCTTGTAGTAATTCTTTATTCTCCCATGATTTACGCTCGTTTATTACCCCTGCGAATGGGCTCTCTAAGTCCAATCTGACCATCATGATGTCGCTTGGTTTGCTAGCATTCTCGAGTTTTATTATTTGAAAGCGCTAATTTTTGCCTCCTTTTTCACACATAGGTGATGTGGAGGCATGTTAAGTAGCGTCTCTAGGACTGCGGTGGGGTAGGTCGACATTGCTCCCGTTATTCTTAGGCATATCAGCCTTTGTGCCTTGTTTAGCTTAATCTTAGCGGCGACTTTCTGAGTTTTGGGCCAACACACCAATGAGGCGTATGTGACCATGGGCTTTATTATGGTATGGTATATCCAGAATACCATCTTTGGCTTTAGCCCCCATGTAGCTTTACCAAACAGTTTGCGACATGACCAGATGGCTGATATAGAGCATGTTTTCTCTAGGTAACTGTTTGTTCCAAGTAAGTGTTTGGTCCAGGGTGACCAGTATTTCATTTCGTTGGAAAATTTTAGTTGTGTACCTATTATGTACTAACAAACGCTTTGGAGAGAGGTGAAGAGGCTCACTGAATATACACCGACTTCTCCAAATAAGCGTTTGAGAGAGTCACTCATGCAATCTTAATCAGGAAGTTGGAGACACTGATGGGCATTTCTAGCTTCCTACTCCTCTCGATAGAGATCTATCTCACTGAAAGGGTCCACCTCTTCACCAATCCCTGTCTCATCTGGCGTTCCTCAAGTTTCACACTTCGGACCTTTAGTTTTCAAAATTTTCATCAACGACATTGCATCTTTCTTCAGGCACTGCCTTTTTCTTCTATTTGCAGACGATCTTAAATTGTTTTTAAAAATAGCCACCGAAAATGACTGCCTCGCACTCCAGGAAGATGTTGCCAGGCTAACTCTTTGAAGCCAGACTAATGGCATGGGACCAAATGTGTTAAAATGTAGAGTAATTAAATCACGAACAAAAACCTTTAACAACTACATTAACCATATAAACGGCACTCCCTTGGACTGTGTGGAGCAGATCAAGGATTTGACCGTCTTGTTGAATCCTCGGCTAGATTTTGCTGATGGTATTGACTTCACAATCAATAGAGCGCTTCGAATGCTGGGATTTGTGAAACGCAGATCAGAAGAGACTTCATAAATACTAGCTCCATCTATTTTTCCTATGTCCGTACTCATCCTGAGTATGCTGCATCAGCATGAATGGAGTCCAAACTACACCTGCCATATACATCGAGTTGAAAATGTACAGCGCAAATTCTTCAGATACTTGACTGCACATTTTTTACTAACAAATAAACTAAATCTGTCAACCCTTTCCTGCAGAAGAAAGCAAAGAAACTTAAAAACTATTCATAAACTCATAAACTTTACTATTAAGTACGTAATAATGCTTTACTTTTCAAGTCGACTTTATATTTTCAACAATTATGAAAAACTGACTATACAAATGATAACACTTCAAACTCTACCTTTGCCAGAGTTATATGGTAAAGGTACAAAAATACCGGATGCTGAAGACATAACAGTCGTCCCTCGTAAATCTTCATTATAAATTCATTTTCTGAACTGGCTTAATTTTGCGTTTAGATCTTCTAAAAGTCATGGTGTTTTGTGAAATAGATGAATTCTGATCTTGTGTCTCCCTTTCCTCAGTAACATCATCCTTTTTTTTATTGTAAGATTCTCCTTGTATAGTATTGCTAGTATTTTGAACGTCTTCATCGGATTCTTTTTATAGAGTAGTATGTATGTCTTCATGATACTTCTTGTATGGTCGAGTGATATTATTATTGGTATTTTGGAAGGCTCCATCTACCTATGTCCTCTTCCAAAAGAGCTGCAGGATCATTAATCGTGTTTATGGGTACTTGTGTGATAGCAATATGGTCAACGTGTCTACGCCATATACCACCATCATCCAATTTTATTAAATAATGTAATAGCCCCTTTGTTTCTGCAATTTGACTATATTCCCATTTTGTATTTTTCACCGAAAAATTACGAACTCTAACCCTGTCGCCCCCTTTAAATTTCATAAAATTTTCTTCTCCAACTGTCGATTTTATATTTTCTTTTCCTTGTAAAGTAGGTTTAATGAGAGCAAGTTTCGTTCGGATCTCGTAATTCATTAATTTTACGCGAGGTGGAACATTTGTAGTTGAATTAGGACTTCTTCTATATCGCATTAAAAAAATCTGTAATTTGTGGTCCAAATCTCCTGGTTCTTCAGTTACTTTTTTTAAAGCCTTCTTAAAAGTTTGAACGTACCTTTTGGCTGGTCCATTTGTAGCTGGATGAAATGGTGCAGAGAACCTATGTTTGATTCCATTACTTTCCAAATAAAGTTTGAATTCAGTTGAGGTGAAGTTTGGTCCATTATTACATTCAGGCCAGAGAAAGATTTTCGAGAACCCTCACATAGTCACATACTTCATTGGAATTTTATTGGCCTATTCACAATAATTAGATTTGGGTTTGTTTGGGTGAGATGTGGGGTTTGTGTTAGTTTGGGTTTGTTAGTTAGTTAAGAATTAACTTTGGAAATTCCAATACTTAGGTATTGTATTATGTACGGATAGGAAAATATCGATGTGTTCTATGTAAATGAATGTTACCTACACTATGTTGTATGTATGTATTTTTAAAACCTATAATACCTTCTCGTGAAGTTCAAAAAATAATAAATTTGATGAATTGATTTGATTAAAAGACATTAAGAGAAGATATAGGAATTTGCATATTTTTATAAATATTGAGTCGATTTTTCTTTTCAAGACCAAGACCAAGAGAGTCTTGAGAGAGTGTCTTGGTCTTGGTCTTGAACGTCAAGTCTTGGTCTTGGTCTTGAGAAGATTTATCAGGTCTTGGTCTCGGTCTTGGTCTCGGTCTTGGTCTTGGTCTTGCTACCAAGACCAAGACTAGTCTTGTGGTCTCGCAAAGCCCTAGACCAAACACACAGGGTGTATTTTTTCAAATAATGTATATTGCACTTGCCAATTTTTTTACAAATCTGCCATAATAGTTTACCATTCCATTTTTTTTATTTTTTTATTTGTCAAACACATTGTGTTTATTACATTACAATCTAGTCAGTAAGACTAATTAGCAATTTTGTTTTAACCTAATTTACTATAAAGTTTACAACTCTTGAGGTTCACTCAACAGTTTTCCCCACTTTGCTTAAACTGTAAATCACAATTTTGATGTGTTTATAGCACTATTTTGTTGTGTTTTTCAATTTCAGTTCACTAGCTCGAACGGCTTCACCCTTCTCAGTCTTCTAACTAGCTCAGTATTGTCTAGGAGCTCAATCACTTCCACGTTCACATGCCGATGTAGTCTATCTTCATGGCTTTTTGCGTACTTTCTTATAGTCTCTGTTACAGTATCAATTCCTAGTTCCCGATGTAGATCACTATTTCGAACGTACCAAGGTGCATTAACAATGTTTCTTAGTACTTTATTTTGGAATCTTTGAATAACTTGTATGTTACTATCTTTAGTGCAACCCCAAAGTTGACTTCCATATGCCCATACTGGTTTCAGTATTTGCCTATAAAGTAGTAACTTGTTATGTATGGTTAAATTGGACGTCCTTCCAATTAACCAGTACATTTTTCTATACTTAAATTCAAGCTCTTGCCTTTTTTTCTTAACATGTGCTTTCCAGCGCAATTTCGCATCAAGCGTCATACCAAGATATTTAGCTTGATTTGAATATGGTATATGGGTGTCATTAATTGTGATTTGTATGTGATTTACGTTTTTGTTTGTAAAATCAACGTGAATTGATTTGGTTTCATTCAATTTTATTCGCCATTTTTTGGTCCAATTTTGAACTTCACTGACAGCGTTCTGCAGTTTTTCTGTTGATTGTTCAATACTTTTTTCCACTGTAATTAAACCAGTATCGTCGGCGAATGTTGCTAAATGACAATTTTCTGGTTTTGGGATGTCGCATGTAAATAATAAATATAAGTAGGGACCTAGCACGCTACCCTGAGGTACCTACACCTGCTTTCGTAAATTTGACTCAAAATCTTCCTGTTTGACTCTGAAATGTCTATCACACATATATGATTCCAAAATATCAGAATATTGTTTTGGCAGAAACAGCTTTAGTTTATAGTTTAAGCCTTCATGCCAAACTTTGTCAAATGCTTGCGCTACATCGAGGAAAACTGCGGAACAGACTTTTCCCTCTTCCAGCGATTTTTCTATTAAATTCGTTATTCTGTGTACTTGGTCGATCGTAGAGTGCTTGTCGCGGAATCCAAATTGATGAGTTGGAATGATTTCCTGTCTTTCTATGATCGGTTTTATTCTTTTTAGCAGTATCTTTTCATAAAGCTTAGATAAAACGGGCAATAATGATATTGGCCTATAAGATGACACATCATGAGGTGGTTTTCCGGGTTTTGGTATCATGATAACTTCTGCAACTTTCCAAAGTTTAGGTACGTATTTAGGCCTAAAGGACGCATTGAAAAGGTTGCATAATTTCACAATAGCTTTCCTGGGGAGTTGTTTTATTACTTCCCCAGTAATTAGGTCATATCCTGGAGCTTTTTTCGGACTGATATTTTGTTTGATCTCTGTTAATATTTCTCTTAGTGAAGTAGGCTTCTTCTTGATAAGGTTCATTCCAGGGAAGATTTTCATCCTGTGCTTCGTTAGGCTGGAATGTCTTTTCTAAATGACTTGCAAAAAGTTCTACTTTTTCTTCGTTACTCCTTGCCCATTGCTGATTTGACTTTCTTATGGGTGGAATTTGGGTAACTGGTAAAAAAAAAATACCATTCCATACCAGCTTTTGAGTTCTGTCACATTAGTTGGTGCTCTTGCTTTCATTACTGCCTCAATTTTGTCATCATTTTTTTTGATGCCCTGTTCTGAAATTGAATGTCCCAAATAACTAACTGAAGTTTCAACAAATTTGCATTTCTAGGACCTAATTTTTAAGCCAACTTCTTGTAATTTCCTAGAAACAAGTTTAACCCTTTTCCAATTTTCTGTAGATGACTTTCCTTGAATTTTTATATCATCCAAAAACATCAGGAATTCGCCCTAATGTTCTTGTTATATATCTTTGCCATATCGCTGGTGCTACTTTAGTGCCAAACATCAATCGATTTACTGTATAATCTCCTATTGGAGTTGTTATAGCTTGGATTTTAACACTTTCTTCATTGGCATATGTAAATAGGCTTCTCTAATATCCAATGTCGTGAATTTTTTTCCACCAAGCATGGTTTCCGCAAATATATCTTCCTCATTTGGCATTGGAAATTATCATCTATAAGTAATGTATTTATTGTTATTTTGTAATCAGCGCATAGCCTAACAGAACCATCAGATTTCAAAAGTGGAACTATGGGAGACCCCCCACTCGCTATACTCCAACTTAGTGAAAATATCTTTCATTTCAAGTCTATTTATTTCAAAAATCACTTTTTCTTCTAAAGCATAAGGAATTTTCTGACTAGGAATGTATATGGGTGAACAGTTTTCTTTAAGAAATAGATTACCTTCGAAATTGTTAATTTTTCCCAATTCGTCTTGAAAAACATCTGTAAATGTTTCTTTAAGACTTGCAGTCACCTCCTTTTTTTCCTCCAATATGTTTGCAGAATGTATTTCTGAGGTCTCAAGCTTTGTGGTATTGATTCAGCCTTTAGTTGTATTATTTTTTCAATAAGATTTGTATTTTTCAAACCGCCAACAAATTGTTGTCGAAGGTGCACATCAACAGTAGAAGCATTGCAGCTAAGACATTTGAATTTACAGTCCCTGCATCCTGCATAACTTTTTAAGGTCAGTAACGAAATCTGAAATACTTTCGTCTTCTCGTTGAACTCGTTTTGCAAATTTGTTTTGTGATGCAATTATACTTGAAAAAGGATTTAAATGTTCTTTCACTAACTTCACTAATTCTTCATATGTTTTATCCTTAGGATCATCAGGACTTACCAAGTTGTAAGTAAGTTGTAAGGTTTTGGCTCCCATTGTATGAAGCAACCATTCCATTTTCTTTCTTTCTATTTCAGAAGCAGAGCCTATAAAATTTTTCATACTTAAGAAATTTTCTAATCTTTTACGGCCAATTTCATAATCAACTTAAAGTAAACTTTAAATTTAAAGCTTCATTTAAAGTTGAAAAATCCTATTCTTTAAAGTCTATTTAGCTAAAGTAACTTTTAATTCTCTATTATGAAATTGGCCGTTAATGTTTAAATCCCAAGATTCCATATGTTCCAAGAAAGGTTCCATCGAAATTCTGTCCCTGGAGGTGTTTTAAACTTTGATGTAGCCTGCATAATTTTTGAAAAATGTTCCAAAAATCCTTTAAATTGTTCTTTATCCATTTTCATTTGTAAATAGGTTTATCCACGTCGCCACTAATAAGTATGTAATAATGCTTTACTTTTCAAGTCAACTTTATATTTTCAACAACCGACTATACAATAAATGACAATACTGTGGACAACACTTCAAACCATGGTAAAGGTAAAATGTACAAAAATACCGGATGTTGAAGACATAACATCTACCATAAACTGTCCATACTTAACATCTCAAATTGGTTTCGCAACACTCGCAACACTCGCACAACTCAAATATTCCACCTGCAATTCCACAGAACCAATTATGGATATCATTCTTTCATTCCTCGTACTCTTGTTCATTGTGCTATCAGCTGAGTGAGCTTGATTTCTTCGGGCCATATGAACCATTTTTGTGAGGACTGTCACTGGCGTTTTTATATAAGTGTACTAGCTTTAGAAAGATGATGTGTACAATTTCTTTAAGTTTATTTTCACTTTTATATTTACCTATTGTTTTTTTTTATGTTACTCTAGTCTTTAATTTGAACTTGTTATATTTGTTAAATCCCTAAAATTTTGTATTATGGGCTTGACCCGTCAATAATAGTTATTTACATTACAAGTGCGTTAATGAGCATGATTACCATCACGAGTGTAAAAGATTAGAATCACACGAGTTTTGTAGTCATATTTAAACGCACGTGTGATGTATGTACATCGAGTATCTACGAAGCGAAAAATAGTAGTTTATTAGTAGTTGTCTACCTTCATTTTACATTTATAGGCTTAACTATGACACCTGTCAAATCCCAAAAACTAGTTTTTTTTATAGATTCATAACCTAGTCCATAACACCACTAGTTGTGTTATGAGTCTCATGACATAACTCAAATACTAGAAAAATGGTTATGTAAAAACGTCATAACCAAACGCTTGTAGATAAATAAAATACTGGTGGACGGATAGGATTATTAAAATTAAGAGACCAAGCGCTAAGTTTTTTGGAGCGTAAATAATTCTCACAAAAGGTTTCTTAGTTTTAAATGGTTCATCGGATAGTCCTCAAAAAGTTCATTATCCCACTCAAAGAAATCCCCACAGGAGGAAAATCTTTATTTTTGCAATTTCCTGGATTCACTTTGCTTGCTTTACCTTTATCGAAGAAAATCCTCTGTTTTTATTGATTGAAAATTTTGGATATATCAGCAGTTTATATTGCCAAAGAAAGTCTTTTTAATATTCTTACCAGTCAATACTTAGTTATTACCTTTTTTCTCTTATTGAATTTGGAATATTACAATTCGAGAATCTTCTTGCCGTTGAACTCAGCACATCTGCTAAATTTTGGTCAACCTAATAGAGCAAAAGTTTCAATAGATTTTTCCTTATAAATTTCAGTTACTGGTAAAATTTCACGCAAAACTTCATTATTATCAGATACATGACATTTTGTAGCAACAAGTAGTTAGAAAAAGTTTACCGGAGAATTGAATTTTCTTCAGAATCCTTTCAATTAGGCATCTATCATTTCTACACATAAAGCTGAGCTAAAAAGTCAAAATGAAATATTGAAAATCCTTCAGCTGGAAGCTCTCCTAGCGAGTCAAATTTCCCAACTTTGGAATTAATCAAGCAAATTTTCCAAAGTCCGGTCTAATGCATTTTGCGAAGAAGTAAATTTCATTTAAAAGTATCAATTTCCCCGGAAGCTACAGGCTGTTTTTTACGAGTTTCAAGTTTGACCAAACTTTGAAGCCCTCCGGCAATTAAGCGCAGCGATGTCATGGCATAAAAATAAAATTATAGCCCTGACTGTTTTCGATGAAAATCCCATGAGCCCGAAAGCGATTCGCTTCACGGTTCGGGGAATATTTGGGAAAATCGCAATAATTAACTGAAAAATGATTGGTTTTTGAAGTAGAACTTGATTTTGAAATTTGAAATTTCAGCTTTAAAATTGGACATTTTAACATATTGATGTAGCTGACCAATAATTTTGATTAAAATGTTTTCCACTCTATTTCAGGATACCAGAACAAAACATAATTTTAAACTCCATACATACTCATCTCCTACATTTTGTGACCATTGCGGCTCGCTCCTTTATGGCGTGCTCCATCAGGGAATGAAATGTACAGGTATGAAGCTGGAGCACCCTTGAAAATAAATGGAAAATTAATGATGAATATTTTTTCTAGCATGTGATATGAATGTTCACAAAAAATGTGAAGTGAGTGTGCCAAATTTATGCGGCTGCGATCATACAGAACGCAGAGGCCGAATCCAGTTGAAGATAAATTGTGTTGGGAATAAACTTACAATTGAAGGTAAATGTATTTTTCATCAATAATGGAAATATGATGGTGCGGTGGTTGTGTCTGTAGTTTCATTCTAAACATTAACATTACTGATGACTATGATGACTTCACAACAAATTTATAATAAGAAAATACTTTAGGATTTTCAGTTTTTCTTTTTGAAGCATCATTCTGCCACGTTTTTTAGTTTTATGTCACATATTTCAGAGAAATTCATTGGTACTGGTTATAGGAAATTCGGTTAGGAATTTTCTCGACAACTGAGGGGATTCCTCGGCCTCGTCTACTTAATTGTTGTAGGCTGCAAATATAATCTAAAACAGAAACTAAACTCATTATTCCTGACTTAAAAATATGCTAATATTTCTTTTCCATTAAAAGCTGTCACGAGAAAATTGTTCCTACATAATAAGTCCTCAGAGATAATTCTTCTACATAAATCTTCATGGCAGCTCATAAAACGCAATTTCATTTTTGCTCCAACTGTGCGGAATTTTCTTAGATTTTTCCCGGGCATACAAATAGGCAAATTTTCTCCTCTTGTTATGCCTCGGACGTGAATCCATAATTCAATCCAGCAGCTGTTAACAAAATGGTCGTATTTTCTTTCTGAATACAAAACTATGTTTGTTTTATTAATTCTAGTGTGTCAGGGAAGAAATCTCATACCAATGGACCCGAACGGTTCGAGCGATCCATACGTTAAACTTAAATTGATTCCAGGCGAATCGAACGAAAAAAGGAAGACGAAAACCATTCGTAACTGTTTAAATCCTGTATGGAACGAAACGTTATATTTGTAAGTGTAATTTTTTTGCTCTTTATAACTCACTTCATCAAATTTTTGTAGTGATTTAAAAGCAGAAGATAAAGACCGAAGGTTACTGATCGAAGTATGGGATTGGGACCGGACTTCAAGAAACGACTTTATGGGGTCGCTTTCTTTTGGCATTTCGGAAATTTTGAAAGCCCCAGCTGACGGCTGGTTCAAATTGCTGACTGCTGAAGAAGGCGATTTTTATAATGTTCCTGTGCCAGAAGAGGGAGTGGATATGGCGTCGATTAAGACACAGATGAGGGTAAGATATGATACTTAATTATTTATTTTAAATAATTAATTTGGCGAAAACTTCTTTATAAAAGTACCATTTAAGTGTATTTCGTCTTTTCAAATGATAATTTTTGAGTGTCTCACGAGAGGCTGCAACTATTCAAGGGCGAACGAGAATCTCGATAATAAGAAAAAGTTAGCGTAAGCGAAATTTACATTAGTGCACGACATTGCCCTAATTTAAAGTCAATGGCAATTATCGTATTTTAACAGTCCACTTCTTCTCTTAATTTGCTAATTGCATCTTCAAAGACGCGAGTATAAAGAATGAGTGGAGAAAGCTGTGAGAAATAGCAGAAAAAGGTGTAAGGAATAAGTGAGAGAATGAACATTTTAAAATAAATGCCACCCTATGGTGGACAGCAGATTCGATGATGATAAGGGAAAAATACAGGGTTGGCAAACATCCGGCTAATTGTATTATACAGCACTGGATTTTTGGTTTTGGATTTCCGATGTTTTTGTTGGATACTTGTGTTTTTGATATTTTTATGTATTAGAACCTATGATTTTCGAACAGATGAGTAAACTACAGAGGTATCAAAGAGCGCTTAAGAACATTTAGAAGATTTCTGATAACTTCTAGAAGATCTCAGAGCTTCTTAATCATTAAGGAACCAATTAAAAACTTTGGAAAGCGTTTCGAAAAGCTTCAGAATGCGCTAGCGCCAAGTTAGAATATTTTTAAGCATTTAAAGACGCTCTAGAGTAATTTAGAACTTCGATAAGCTTCAGAACACTTTCAATTTAATTTTCAATCTTCCAGCATTTGTTTGAGAAAAATTTGAATCCTTAAAAACATTATAAAATGTTACAGAACACTTCAAAACAAATTTAGAATGTCAAAAACCTTCTAGAACAGACCAGAACACTTTGAACTTTCGGCAACAGTTTAAAAAACTTTTGGAATACTCTAGAACTCTTTACAAATCATATGGAACTTTTGGAAAACCTATAGAATTGGATACTTGTAGAATATATTAAAAATCGTCACAACACTTTAGAACTAACTTAAATCTTCCATGAACATATTAGAACACTCTATAACACTTCTGAACTTATTTAGAATATCAGTTAGAAATACCAAAAAGCGCGTAAGAATATTTGGGAAATTTCTGATAGCTTAGAACATTCCGGTACTTCAAGAGCATTAAGCAACTAACTGAAAACTTTAGCATTTTGAAAAGCTCCAGGATGCGCTTGTAGCATAATTTGGAACATTTTTAAGCATTTTGAGATGCTCACATAACATAAATCTAGAACTTTGATAGGTCCTCTGAAACTTTCAATTCCATTTTCAATTCGCCTGCATTTGTTCGAGACGAATTGGAACTTTCAAGATTATTGTAAAAGGCTACAAAACACTTCAGCATCAAATTAGAATTTCAGAAACATTCTAGAACGGACCAGAACATCTCTGAACTATCAGAAATATTTAAGAAATCTTGAGGTACTTTAAAGTTCAGGTTTCCGGGTCAATTCTGTGCACATCTGTAAGCAAATCTATAAATTTCTATAAGCCTATAAACACTGCAAAACGCATCGATTACCAAACACTCATTCGGAAATATTTAGGATCTTATAAGATATTTTATAATCTACAGGAAGTGCAGAATTGCAAATTGTCTATAGGCAGCTATAGGCTTATAGAAATTTATAGATTTGTTTACAGATGTGCACAGAATTGACCCATTGGATTCAAGTTAAAGTTTCCGGGAGTATTTTGGACCGCTTGTGCACTCTACAAATTATAGGAAACTTTTGGAAACAATCTGAAACTGGATACTGGAAAGAAGTATCAAAGCTCGCTTGAAAATATTTGGGAAATTTCTGATAATTTCCAGAACATTCTGGCGCTTCAAAAGCTTTAGTTAGGGGTTTCAGAATTTTATTTTAATTTTCTCTCTGTGGAAACAGTGGGTATTTTCCATTCACAATCCGCTGTCCACAGGTACAGGTGAAGGGTATCATCTTTCAATGCTATTTGATAGGGAAAGGTGTAAAATTTACCTATACCTGTGGACATCGGATTGTGAATAGGATATACCTATGCTTAAAAAACGATTTTTTATTTGTCCTTTTTTGAACATTTGTTGGAAATTTTTGTTTTCTTGTTTTGTGAGTGTCTGTGACAATAAAAAAATGTTTTTTTCTACTTTCGTGCGTAAAGTACTCACTTTACGCACTATTCAGAAGATGTAAAATTTCACTTCACGCACTAGTGCGTAAAGTAATTCACTTCACACACTAGTACGTAAAGTAATGTCAGTGACAGATGTCAACACTGTCAATTTGGCATTTTTCTGTTAAATTACTCCACGCACTAGTGCGTAAAGTGAAAATTCTTCACGCACTAGTGCGTAATGTATTTGTCCAAATTTATTTTTTTAAACATATTTGATTGGTAGTAGAAAAAATGTTGTATGCAATACGTACGTAAAGCACCTTTTTTCAGGAATGTGAATTTTGACAATCACATGAGTGAAAAAAGGTTCACTTTACATACTTGTTGCATAAATAACTATTTTTTTCTCTTTCAAATATTTTTATAGCATTTTTCTGTGAATTTTTGTTGTAATTTATATGGGAATAATACCCAAGGAAATGCCCATTGTTCCGCTGGGATTTCTCTGGGTGTCTTAGAACCACGAAATTATCGGTGATATCATGCTTTTAATACGGAAACACAACACGAAAGACTTAAACAATTAAACAATACAAACAAATTAAAATATAAAAATTAAGAGAGAAATGAGAAACATATAAATTGTAAACACTTTCTTGTTCTTCCCGTACACCCGAAGTTAATCCCAATCGCAGGTTGTGCGAAATTAAAACTGGAAAATCCACAGGTTGCTGATAGAATGGTAATCGATGTAAGATTTTAAAATGAAATTGAAAGATATCGAAACTGAAAAGGATATTTTTTCACCTTCCCTTGCTCTACTTCCAAACTCCACTCAGCTGGCCAGCTCATTCAGGAAGTTCAAGTCCCATGCGTAGGAGTGCAACGAAACCGTCCTAATTTAACCCGTCGCGGTAAACAAAAAACCGCGGGTCTGTTTTCTCGAACCACACGAAGCGGGCGAAGTGTTTTTGACGACTGGTTTGCTTGTCGGCATGAAGTGTAAGGACTTTGCCGGTACCCTTTTTCAGTGTTTAACGCGCGCATTTTTAAAAGCCAAACTAAGCAAAGCCGTATCATTCTTATGCATAGAGCACGCGCAATTCAATTAGAATAAGATAAAAACAAAAAATAAAGAAAAACGAATCAATTTCCATTCCCAAATAGCAAATAGGATTTAACATCCTAAATAGCCAATTTAACCTACAACTATATACAGGACGCGTAGACGAAACTGAACACAGGTATCGTCTCTGGTCCTCAATAAAGCTATAAATCACTCACGTGGTACCTTCCTATTGATAAACTGTTTTTGGTCTCAGCTAACTCGTAACTGGTGGGCGATACCTTTCTTAATATTTTGTAGGGCTCGTCTCGTTTGGGATCAAACTTCTTAGTCAACTTCTTAGCTGTACCGCTATGCGTATAAAGATTAACAAGTACTTAATCTCCAACGTAAAACTCAGGAACTACACTGCGTCTTACATCTGCATGGTCTTTGTGTCGGTCTCCTGAATTTTCATTAGTACTTCTGGCGTCCTGCCAAACAGTAATCATACGCTCCAGGCAAGGCGTAATCTGGGGTATAAAATTATCTGTAGTGATTTATCGCATATCATTTTGTACTTCATCGAATGTACGTAGTTCCCTTGCAAATGTCAAGTATGCCGACGTATATCCAAGATTTTCGTTCTGGATTGTGTTTATTGCAAATCTTATTGTTAAAAGATACGCGAAGGCCAAGTGTTGTGCGTATCTTTGACAAAAATTGCTAATCGTGGCTTCAGATCTCGATTTTTCCGTTGTACCATGTTACATTCCGGACGATAAAATCGTGTCAGTGATTGCTGAATTCCTATAATATGACAAACTTGTAGCATAACAGTTGATATGTTCGCTCGATTCCATAATAGGCTGCAGTGGGACTATCATGATATTCGTACATGATCCTCTCTCGTTCATCACTAACTGCGCTTTTTCATCTTCCCAGAAATATCAATACAGGGTGTTTCATTGGGAAAGGGACATATGTTGAATGCAGATAGGGATGACCGAGAGGGGTTTATCGCCGTTTATACCAGAAATACCAGGTGATTTATCGATTTTGTATTTTTTTTTATTTCCCTATGTAACTTCTGAACGACCCCGTATTTTTTTCTAAGATTTGGTAGGTATACTTATTAATGGTCACCTACATGATATCTTAGTTTAACTAAGTTGGAAAAAAATCCAAGTCCGTCTTTGTCAAAATTTTCCATATTCTGTCTTTCTGTCTACCCCGAAAAGTCACCGTGTATATTTAAATTTTTAAAATTTTTTTCTTGTTAAATAATCTAGCACGAAACATGCTACTCCAAAATGCAGTGCTCATTTTTCCGCACAAATTGTTTAAAGAAAAGATTTAGGTGTGAACTGATTATTTTCAGCCTCTGTTTGTGCTAAACGCGTCTAAAGAAGTTTTGACTTTAGAAAGAAATACAAATATTGCTTGTTTTTTTGTTGCTAATTGTTTAAAAAATCAATAAAGGCTTGTACTTAGGTAATAGTAATACCTTATTAGAATATTGATTGGAAGTTTAATTTTTCATTTTATATTATTTCCTTATTACGGCCCTGCGTCTTTTCACTTTCTTTTGGTTTTTGTCAAATACGAGAAATAGAATTGAATCTACATCCTAGGTACATAAATTTGATATTAATTTCCGTAGAAAAACTGCAAATATTAGTTCTTTTTGATTTATTTCGAGCTCCTAAGAGCTCTGAGGTTGAATATCGTCAATTCACACCTAAACCATTTTTATAAACAATTTTTAAAAATTTAAATATACAGGGTGGTTTTTCGG